TATTTGGGAAGCAAATTTGTTGTCGTAATGTTAGACGACCCACGGGCAGATACGGCCGTTGCGGTAGATACAGGTAATCGGTTCTCGGCAAGTATCGGAGTACACTACCTGAAAATTTCAATGGAATCAGTGAGTTCGATACTCTAAGTGTATCGGGGCGAAAAAAAATGAAAACCTGATTTGCTTGGCCATAACTCTGCAAGGACACGGAACAGAGACGATTTTCCTGCTCCACTCGGTCCAGTCACTATTAGACTGTTATTCAAGGGGATATCAATGCTAAGGTCTAAAAGTGAAGTGTAATGAAAGTGAATTAATAGTAAAAGTACCGTAAACCTACCTGAGACCAGTTCTTCATCGTCATCATAGGGTTTAGTGAAAGACAGATTGCGTATGCTGAATGCCAGATCTCCATTTCCATCGCCATCATCGACGACGTCAGTGGCGAATGCGTCATTAATAATGCCTTTTTCACGTTGAGAACATCGCACTATTTCTGACACTCTGAATGGTTAAAATCGAAGTGAAAGTGACTGGGGATTGACTGACCGCTTCCTCACGGGAATGGCACAGTTGGATTGGTCGAGGTTAACCTCTTCACAAGGGATCTGATTTGATTAGGAGAATAAGAAAGGTTAGAAGAGGCCATAGGCAGAAAAAGTAATCATCACTTGTGTGCGAATAATTTCCAATTACTGGTTTGGATTAGATTTTTCTCATATAAAAACTATTCGGAGGAAGAGTGTGTGGGAACTAGTGGTGCACTATCGCACACGCATGGCCCGGGGATCGAATCCAGAATATATACTCATTTCGGCAAACCAAGCCTTCCATCCCTTCGGGATTGGCTAGCTGGTGCCAAACGCGTCTGGGTGGATAGAAGCGCTAGCCAATACAATTCGGCTTCCATTTGGAATCGTATATGCGTGTTTAGCCTACACAATGACTTGCAATTTTTGGTCGCTGCAAGTCATTGTATAAGCCCACATGCGGCTCTTACCGTCACCCACATACATATGCTGGGTATGGAACGGGGCATCTCTCTCGAATCGCACTTACAGCAGATTAGTTGCCTTGTCCATAATTTCTGATAAAATTCGATGTAGTACTCAGTCATTGAAAAAGGCTGATCTATGGCGAGCTCGACCCTGACCGATCCAACTGCCCGTCCCCTGCTCATCACTGACCTCAGAACATAACCACCAAGTTCTCCGATGTTTAGAGCCAAATCGGTAAGGCGTGTAAAGCTGTTAATTAGGTAAATATAGTAGAAAGCATTCTGAAAAAACTATTTTCATTTTATTTTATGAAAACTACAGTTCCAAATAAGTCTGTATATCCACTTAATTACTGTAATTCACGGATCATGGACGATTTTGAGCAGGGTTTATCCAAATCCATTTTGCAAACATCAAGACTACCATAGAGAAAAACAAAATTTTCCACTGACGTTACTGATTTTTTCGCTTAATGAAGCTTGATCGAGGTTGTCGTACGATCCAAAGACGAAGATCGGGAATAATTGAATAGCATAGGATAGCACTCCACCATAGTAGTCGAAGAAGTATTGCAGAACTGAAAATGAAAATTGGTTTTCCTGCACTGACCATCTTTTATTATCCTTATCCTTATTATTATTACTATCGTTTGGGAAGAGTAGTGGCAAATGACTCACTAACACACAATTCCTAGTCGATATCTACCCGAACTAATCAAGTATTCGATCCCTTCGGGGCCGGTCACTTTGTACCAGTTTGTGTTGGAGGAAAGCACTGACTTGTATCTCGCATGGACACCAAAATTCATGGTAGAGGTCTCATTCGAACCCCCCTCCCCCTACGATTTTGTGCGAAAGTCTAATGCAAGGCGTATCCCAAAACGGGAGGGATGTGGACCAGCCTAGGGTAATCCAATTCAAGTCAACTCCAAGTGGAAGACAGGTTGCTTCGGGTGGTGCTATAACTGCAAGATATAGTGAAGTCATCAGCATAAAAAGGGGGCTTCAGCCTGATAGAGGGCGTTTTCCTCGGCGTGATTCCTCCCGGAAACCTTAGTAGTGGATGTTCGGTGGATCTTGAAGGGATTAAAGTAGCAAAAAAGTGTTCTAAATTGTTTCAACGTCCTAGAGTGCAACTCTACTTTCAGTTTACTATTCACGACTCTAGATGACTGAACCCTAAATGACTTAACCTTGTGTCGGGAACTGCCATAGCACGAGTTTCCTTTGAGCCTTCCATAGCACTTGAAAAATTTCATTTGAAGAGTGTTTCTCAAAATCAGCTGCCTGATAGAAAGCGCTCTCCTCTGCGTGGTTCCTCACCGAGACGTGCTTGAAACTGAAAGTTCGAGTAAAAATCTCGTGCAATGTCTTAACTGAGAATCATTAAATAGATAGTTTTCCCACCGAAAGTCACCTTCAGCTTTTTCTACTCTGGCTGCCCATTTGGTAAGTGGTGAGATGAGGACACGATTTAGAGCAGCTCCAACCATGAAGTACAAGTAAATCAGGGCCACACCAAATCCACCGGCTCTGGAAACTATTATTCAGAAGTTTTCAAAGTGCTAGAGGTGAGACCGTGTATTTTCAGAGAAAAGAGTGAACACCTACCAGGATCTCCGTTGGTTATCTTCGGAAAACCTAAAAATTAGATGGGAAGCGGAGGTTTCGATCTGGGTTGTGTGTCCCTTGATTCCGACATTTTTCTGAGTGAAAACGGACAGTTACCGTGCAGAAAATAACTGCTCTTCCCTCATGTGCATAGTAGCGGTAAAAATGCGTCCCATATGGGCTCCTTTTTAGTTGTCTCCTCTTTTGGGGCTACATTGGGCTATCACCAAAAGGGTTTAAATCAAGAGGATGAGAGCTTGCTGTCATGACGATTCTCATCACTTTTTTAACAGGGGAAAAAGTGATCATCCGTCTTTTCAGCAGAGAGAGGGCTTTGAAAAGACCCTTGAGTTGATCTGCTATTTACTTTTTACTAGGGAGTCTCCTCAAAGGAAGCGAAGGAGCAGGAGGGGTTTTTAGATAGAGAATCTCTTTAGGACCTTCGTTTCTAGTTCGACCTGCGTCTTTGAGGTTCATTTGGCCCTTAGAATTGTTCAAAAAATATTTTCACGGCATACTCTAGAAAAAAGGGAAAAATCAAGAGAGGGGAACTCCTAGAGAAGAACCGAACTTACGTCTGCCAAGTTTTGAACGTGTAGTAGGCGATGACAAATGGTGCTATCAGTAGTGATGGAGCGAGTTTTACCGCTAGCACTTCACACATTTTCTCGACATCTTGTGTTATTCGTTGATCACTGTAATTCTGAATATTCTACCGTAATCTTGCATTACAGTAACATGCAGTATTATCAAATGTACGTTTCACGCTTCTTTAAATAATCCGAAGGGAGCTTCTTTCTGAAGAGACTCAATGAAAGAAAGGGACAGTCAAGAAATTCGGAAAAAAAGTTCGAAAAAACTATTTTACTTTCAGGTGACTAGGGTGCATGAAGAATTTTCATTCGTTTTTGATACCCTGGGTAATTTCTAATGGAAACAGGAGCAGTTTCCTAACTTTTCTTCAGATTACTGTAGTTGGTGAAAATTCTATTCAATGGATTGGTTTAGGTTATTCCTAAGTAGCTTAAGGTCTTTCAAAAATCACTGTCTTTTCACAGTAACCCTTACCACCTTCTATAACGAGCTAAAGCAGTAGTGGTGAACTCACGGATTGTCGATTCCTTGATCTTCAATGCTGTTAATAGTATAATATACATTATTTTCGTAATAGAGATCATGAAGGGATGTGACAAGATTTTTACGGAAACACAGATACAAGCACCACGAGAAGAATGCAACACCACCGAGTAGCTAAAAATTCAATTCATTCGTTGTTATTTATTTCATTTATATTGTATTACACTGCTTTATTACTCATTATCTCACGATTCTTATGGTTATGGAGCTTGTTCATTGACGGGCGTAATAGTATAAACGGTAAAGGGTGATTTTATGTCTCCCAACCACGGTGATTTATGGGCATAACGGAGTCTCGAACGGGACTCGACCCGGCACATATGATTACTATACTGTTTTCTCCCCCATATATGAAAGAAGCCGTTAAGCAAAAGATAGTAAAGGATGGTGCTATAATTACTCCACTAATTTGTATACCTTTTTAGAAATCCCAACTTTACTGGAGTAATCCTGAAAAAACAAGTGGGACCGCAAGTGGGACCTCTCGAACTTCAAATACCGAATGGCAGAAATTACGGAATTCTTCAGGTAATAATTGATAAACTGACCAAACATTGGGCAGCATAAACTGCTGTGGCCAATATGAGAGTATTCCAGAATGCTGCTTCGTCCCGTCGAAGTAGTTCCTTGTAAAATTGTCCGGTCATCGTACCGGTTTTCTGGGCCACGACTTCATCTAAAATAAACTCAAATAAACTCATTTTTGCTAGTAACTCTAATCTGAACTGAACGGAAATCGAAGGTTCTGTGACTCCTTGGTGTGATCCTCAAGGCCTGCATTGAGTCTGTTAACCTGGAATTTTGTAACCTGTAAAAGAATATAAGGCTGGTTTGGGGTTTTGGAACCCGTAACCTAGATTCGGAAGAAATTACTTAGCCACGGAAAGTGGAATGGAAAGATATTCTTGATGGATCGTCAAACCATCGAAAAAATGTGTAGCTCTAAGTAAGTTTTGCCATTACTAGGCTCTAGGTTTAATATTTTGAGCTTAGAGGGAAGGGGGGGGGGTTGGAAGCAAATTCTATAGGGGCCCCGTAAAAGGCATACTGTAGACTTTTGTAAAATCTGAACCTCAGTCTAACAAACACAGTCGCTATATCCGTCACTTATCCCAAAGAAGGGCAAATTCTAAGTAAACGGAGAATGGCACTTCCTACTTTTGGAAGTAGGAGGTAGTGCCCCTTTTCCATCATTAATTCTACCGTAGAGATTTTTGGATTCCATGGATTAATAATACCAGTATTTGAAATGGTTCCCAAGTGAGAAACTAATCCTCACAGTTGTCACTTGCATATACAAACTTTAAATGTAAAAGGACCAAGGATAAAGGGATATTTATAGGTACCCTGTGAATCCCAACGACTTCTGCAAGCTTCCTGTCCCATGAACAATCCTTTCATTTTTTTAATCCTCTGGTTTGATCCTCTGTTTTGTTGCAAGGTTGCAAAATGTTTTTCGAGTTTTTCTGACAAACTACTTATTGCCATGGTCAGAAAAATGCATCAACCCAAAAATATCCCAATAGATCCCATGCGATTACTAAATATATATCTTTGGTCCCATTAATTTTTTTTGCTTTTTTTCGAAATAGCAAATGACAAGCTGCAATGTGCAGAACCCGTTTTCTCATTTTTTGGAACCTCATCCCCAATGGCCCTCAAAACGCAGGACCTATGAATAACCTCAATGAATCCCTTGCTGTTTCATGAATATTCCTTTTTCATCACTTCAATCTTTTCCTGCAGGCTGCAACCTTGCAAAACCTTTTTTACGAAGCTTTTTTTCCTAAAGCGGGCACTGAAATACAAAATCTATGAGTACTCTGATAGATCCTATGAGAATTTTGAATATATTTTATCTCACTAACTCCCTTCTCCATTTTTTCCTGGAGACCCTGATATATTGCAACCGGGCGAACTCTTTTTTTCGATTTTGCTGACATATAGCAACCTTATCTTCTTTGGTGGTCCCACGAGGATGATCTTTGCACCGTAGTAGCTTCAGCGTCTTGCACTAAATCTTCTTCGAGCATAAAGCGGAGAAAAGAAGACCTCCTTCTTCTTCATGGTTATCTAATCTCAGGAAGGGATGCCATCCCGAGCCTTTCCGTCCCTGAGGCCACCCATAATGAGATTATTCTCGGAGACGTCCGTTCACCGGTTTCTTTAAGGTTTCTCAGAACTGTTTTTCCTGAGTATCGAATTTCAGCGCCTGATGGATGACTTTCGTTTTTTCTTGAGCAGACCAACACACCAGGTTGGCCGGTGAACTCCTGGCTTTGTATGGAATGCAGTGGCTCCCTCAATTGCCCCCACAACTCCGTTTTTACACTGGCCAGTCAGGTCCATACAGAGCTCCGAATGTGAGGGCAGAATGCGTCCAAATACCAGTTTACAGTAAGACAGCAAAAGACCTGAAGTACTAAACAAGGGGTAAAGCAGTGAGCTTTCCACAGCTAGGCAATCTCTGCTCGGGTGCGCCCCCGACTTACATACATCCAGAATCGTAGTGGCGTCTTGAAAACGTATGTACCTTATGCATTCCATGAACAGCAGTGGCAAGCCCATGTACGATTTAGTGCCTTCAACCTCCCAGAGAGGTCTAGTACCAATTAGTCGGCCTTAGAGATTGGGAGGTCTGATTAGTCTTGGTAGACGTCAAGCCGGGATACGGTCACCGGACCATGCGTGTACGATGATGCTCCATTATGCACTACTCCACCTATACAAATTATAAATCACCTTCCCCAAAAGCGCCAAAGGAGTCTAGTCTACTGGTCAAGCTTCTACTATGAATGCGCCATAACTTTGAGTTTCATCCAGATACACATGTAAAAGGGTACTTACCCTTCAATATTATGTTTTACAAGTGAATAAAAGCTTAGTAGAGTTGGATTCTTCAAAATTTCTGGCGTACAATGCCTCTTGCGCTTTCACAAATTATCAAAGGCACAATTCATGATGAAAACGATTTCTGAGATTGACTTACAGGATGAATTTGAGGACCCCGCGTATGTCATATCCGGCACTTTTAGGTCTGAAAGTGGCCTAGTTAAGGAGTTACAAAGGCTCAAAGATTGGCCCGTGTGTATCCTCGGACGAGTTTCACAGGCATTGTAGAGG